CATCATTATCATTATCATTATCATCATCACCATCATCATTAGTAGTAGTAGTAGTATCATTATTATAAGTACTATTATTACCATTATTAATATTAATATCATTATTATTATTATCGTTATTATCATCATTATTACTATTATTATTAATATTACCATTATCATTATGCTGTTGTTAATGTTGTTGTTATTATGACTATCATGATCATTATTTTATCATTGTTATTATCATTATTGTTATCATTATCATTATCATTATTATTATTATTATTATTATTATTATCATTATCATTATAATTAAGGATGATGATTATTATTACTACTATCATTATTATAATTACTATTATTATCATCATCATTATTATTATTATTATTATTATTATCATTATTATTACTATTATTACTACTACTACTATTATTATTATCATTATTATTATCATTATTATTATTATTATTATTATTATTATCATTATTGTTATTATATATTATGTGTATGTACGTATTATTATGTTATCATAAACATTTATTAGTAATGTTGTTAATGTTTGCTATCAATTATTTACTCTCAATTATCATTAATTATCACTGATTTATTATCAATTCCTTATTAACGTTTATTATTGTTATTAATTGTTTACTGTCAGCTATTATTGTCACAGGGACTCATAAACAAATATTTCATAGACCCACATAACAAACAAACAAACATGGTTGACTTTTTTGGTAGTATTTATGGCAATCCTTTTAAAATTTTGGACTATATATTTCAATGTCAAAAACATACCTTGGTTATATATTTTATTGTTACTAATACACATGCATATTGTTATTGACATATATAGGTATTATCTATATTTGATGCAAGTTTGAACAAGTATTAAAACTAAGGGACTTTGAAGGGCTGGTAAAACTACCCAATTCGACAAAAAAAACTCTTATATGCAGGGACGCATTATGACCTTTTGGGGCCCCTAGGCTAGTGAAATTATGGGGCCCCCTCAGAATATTTTTTACACGTGATATACTTTAGCGACATTTACACAGCTAGACGAAAACTTATTGCAAATTCTTTAAATAAACTAGCATAGCTATCTTTTGTTTGTCAATAAAAAACATTCTTTAAATACCACTATTTTACTATATTTCAACACAACCGTAGTGAAAAAAAAAAAAAAAAATTATAACCAAACTGGTCGCTCTCACTCGCTCAAGAAGAAGAGGAAACGGGAGAAGATAAAGAAGAAGAGAAGGAGGAGAAGAGGTAGAAGAAGAAGTATAAGTAGAAGGAGAAGAAGGAGGAGAAGAAGGAGAAGAAAGAGGAAAATGAGGAAGAGGGAGATGGAGAAGAAGAAAAAGAAGAGTCCCGTGGATCTTGCCATTGTAAAGAGTGAACCATAATGAATGAACTTTGAGCCCTTTCCATGCACTTTGCGCTCGTTTTATCTACCGCCGGGCACTCGGGAACAAGGTCTGTATAAGTATTTTTATAAACCTTGCTCAGGAACCCATAAAGAAACATAATACTCGGGCATTTTGCAACGGAAATGTAAAGCAACCAATTCACGGCTTGAGCAAAGAGGAGATCGGGTTCCAATATGAAGATGCAAAATTTCGTTCGGTTTTGGTTACCTATAATTAGTAAATGGATGTAAGTTACACATCAATCTTTACTTGGTATTGTGTCCGGATAAATAAAGACTCGATACATGATGTTCACTCTATAAATGATGTAAAAGTATGATAGTGATACGGAGATATATTTATGGTATCATGGGTTCCCGCCAGTGAGGAGTTGTCATCTGTTGATTTTTTAAAAATGTTCGTAATTTTACAGTAAGTCTTCCCATATACTTCATAAAAAATTATCAAATATTAGTAATTAATGATTAATAATTCAGTTTCCTCTGTCCCTTGCTTTCTCTCTTTTTTCCATCCCACTCTCTTCCTTCCATCATCTTTCTCCCTTAATCTTTGCTTCTTCTCTATCTCATTCTTCCACATATCTCTTTGTCTCTGTCTCTGTCTCTCTCTCTCTCTCTCTCTCTCTCTCTCTCTCTCTCTCTCTCTCTCTCTCTCCCTCTCTCTCTCTCCCTCCCTCTCTCTCTCTGTCTCTCTTCCTCCTCCTCCTCCTCCCCACCATCATCATCATCTGTTTTCTTCTCTCTCTCTCCCTCTCTCTCTCTCTCTCTCTCTCTCTCTCTCCCTCCCTCTCTCTCTTATGAATATCAACATCAAAGTAATCTTCAAACATTAATTAACATGCATATTAAACAACTTCTACAGCCAGTACAGAAAGGGTTAAAGTGGTCTAATATAAGTGTGTTTCGTTAGCCATTCCCACCACGTTTGTTTTATTGCAGGTGACAATTGATACATTCTTGAAAGAGAACTAAGTTAAGAAAAAGACAAGTGAGAAAGTAACACCATACTGACGTGATCAAAGTGCTATTTCGTGAAAAAAAAAGTATCTGCTCCAAATTAGTCAGCTGATTGTCAACTGAGTTTTACGAGAAAGTAGTGGAGCGGTTATAAGTGGTGGCAGCGGTGGGATCTGTGGTTATTGTAGGCCTACTTTATTTTTCAGGGACGTAAAATAAAAAATATTTAGTGTGGAAGAGATTGATAGCATAGAAGTGTTTCCTCTTCCACTGAGGCGAGCCCATCTGGAGTAAAGTTGTTGAACACTGAGTAAGATATTGGCGACAGAATTAACCATTCAGCATATCCCTCTTGTAAGTATACATCTGGTTTTGATTACGAATTACAGATTCTGCTACCCAGAAACACACACACACACAAACATACCCATACCCACACACACACACACACACACACACACACACACACACACACACACACACACACACATACCCATACACACACACACACACACATACCCATACACACACACACACACACATACCCATACACACACACACACACACACATACCCATACACACACACACGCACACACACACACACACACACACACACACACACACACACACACATACCCACACACACACACACACTCACACATACCCATACACACACACACACACACATACCCATACACACACACACACACATACCCATACCCATACACACACACACACATACCCATACACACACACACACACACACATACACACACACACACACATACCCATACATACATTCATTTATATATATATACGCACACACATACATACATACACATAGACCGAGCACACACACACACATACCCATACACACACACACATACCCACACACACACACACACACACACACACACACACCCACACACACACACACCTACACACACACACACACACACACACATATACCCATACCCACACACACACACACACACACACACACACACACACACACACACACACACACACACACACACACACACACACACACACACACACACACACACACACACACATACCCACACCCACCCACACACACACACACACACACACACACACACACACACCCATACCCATACATACATTCATTTATATATATATATACACACACATACATACATACACATAGACCGAGCGAGAGGACAGAGCTCTGAGCAGTGCCAAGCGTCGCCATGAGCAACACGAGTGTATAAGATTACTGAATGTCGTGAATATCTCATGACGCTTTGAATGTGTATGGTGATTATATGAAGTACGTTTTGCCTATTGTGCTGTGATCCTTTTTTTCATTTTCATTTTCATTATGCGTGTCTCTTAGAGCAACGGACACAAGTTGTACATAACTGATAATATGAACGAAACAAATTATTATATTACAATTAAAGTTTCGTATTTTGCGTGCACTACGTTAAAAGTCAATCATCATATTATTTACTAGTTTTACTGACTATATTATTGTTTTAATTGCGTTTGAGAAATTTGTTTAGTGCGATAGTACACTCATAAGGCTTGTGTGAGTTGTAACAAATGCAACGTTGCATGCCGGCGACGTTTTTTTTCTTTCTTTCTTTTTTTTGGTTTAGTTTTATTTTTTATTGGTTCAGTAAGTTAAAATATTACGTCATTTTGACTTCTATTTCTGTTATTTCTCTCTCATTGCTGTTGTTTTTTTGCTATTCTTTTTCCTCTCTTGTAAGTTTATTATCAATTCATTATTAATATTTAATACGAATGTCATTAATGTTCGTTATCAATCATCTGGTATCTGTTATTATTGATTTATTACAATTTAATTAACGTTTAATAGACGTTGTAAATTAAAATGAAAAGCTCCAACAGTGTTACCAAATCGAGGATAAAACCTTAGTTTGAATTTGCATTGCGGGAAATATGAATCTATTTTTTTTCGTTAGAACATCGATTCGTATTATATTCTTTCTGGGAACATTAAGAAAAATGTGAGGATACGTAGCCATGGGTTGATGACATGAAAGTACTGGAATGATAATCCTTCGAGATATTTCCAGTAGGATTAATTTACGAGGATATTAGAAAAATCGTAAAACTTCCCCTCAAAGAAAACTACATTTATTCTGAACTAAATAAAAGAAAGAATAATATGTATACATACATTATACTACATTTACTCTGAAATAAAATATATATATATTTATATATACAAATCATACATTTCCTCTGAACTAAAAAGAAAGAAAAGAATATATATACACACACCATACTACTTAGACTCAAAAAAAAAAGAATATACGTACACACCATACCCCATAGACTCAAACAAAAAAAAAAGAAAAGAAAAAGAAAAAGAAAAGAAAGAAAAGAAGAGAAAAATATATATAAATACACAAACGATCCCTTGAAAACAAAACCCAAACAAACCAAAGAAAGCTTCGCGCAGGATCTGGCAACACTCGGAGCAGCTGAGCCTCGGACCGCAGAAGTAAAAGCCAAATTTCCCTTCGGTTTTCCTTCGATTTTATGAAGTAACGAAGCACCTAATCCCTTTTTCGAGTCGCGGGATGTGTTAAGGAAGAGATAAAGACCTA